TTTTACGGTACACAAAAAAACACAACTCAAACATATACCCACTAAGTCAATCCTGTCTGCCACTTTCTTGCTGTTACAATCTGTGTACAACATACAGCAGGCAACCAACCTGGTTTACAGCATTTAAGCTTTAATTACAGCTAAATAAGCCTTTGAACATTCAATACAGAAAGGCTGGAGAGATGAGTAACTCTTGCCCCTGAGCTACACACACTTGCTTGTTCTACTACCTTCCACATACTCCCTGAAGCTCCCATTTCTGAATGCACACGCTTGGTTAGAAAAACTTTGCCATGCAAACTGGAATCAAAACATTTCCCCTCAGCTGCACTGGCTCAACCAAAACCCCCTGCTGTTCCTCACAGCACAAGCAGAGACCAGAGGCAGAAACAACCCACCCTCTGTGCAGACTGGGAGACGATTCTGTACATTACACACCAAGGCAAAAAAGCACTTTGGCATTTGGCAGCAGGAGCGCTGGACCACTGGTGCCATGCCAGAGACAGCATGTACTAATGCTAAGCTTTCATGACAACTTGTGTGCTTGTATCTGTATCACACAGCCCCCAAAGGTTTCCTCGCCTGCGATGGCACACTGGTATTTCTTAAACAGGTGGTGTTATCCACAACTGTAAAATGGCCTACTCGCTTGAAAGCAACCAAAAACTATGCACCTTTTGAGGTGGGTCAAACCAGCTCCTCACCTTCAAATACATGAGCAGAAATTGAGACAAGCAGTGTATTTAAGAAGGAACTTTATAGCGTGGTGATTATGTGCGACAATACAGAAGGACCCTTTCTTCCAGTAACCGCCATTTGCTTATTTTTTAAAGAATAAAAGTGACATAATAAAACAAAATGCTTAGAAATTAAACAAAAGCATTTTTTTCCACTCAGATGTATAGAATGGTAAAGGAAAAATCATTTAAATCATTTCTTCAGCAATACAAGTAATATTTAAATAGATTTAATAGTGCTGCTCCAAACCAATGAATTATGAGTTTAAAACCTATTAAAATGTAATGTTTTTTTCCTGTGCTGAGGGGAGAGAGATTTAAATCCACTGAATTTTAATATTTCAGCTTGAGCTGCAGGAGGTAGAGAAAGTCCAAATGAACTCTTCCATCAGCACCATTCAAGCATGAACATTTTAATCAGTTTTACTTCCTTGGAGTTCTCCAACACAGTTTACGCTGTCATTCTGAAAGCACTTAACACAGAGGGTGTGAAAAACCACCAAGGCTTGTTATTGCCTTCACAATTGATGGCAAATAATTTTGCAGGCTTCCTATCATTAAAATGTCACTGCTAAAAATTGAGGTTCAGCATTTCTTGTGCTAAACTGCATTTTCTTTGAACACCATCACATGCCTGTTCTTAAGGTTTTGGTACATTTATCTCTTTCCATGTGATAAACAGAGACACAAGCAGTAGCCTCTACTTCTGCCTCACTACCGAACTGCAGCAGAAAACAGACTATTTTAAATGGGGATAGGGAGGAAACACTGATAAAATTCTTATAAAGTTACAAGTTAATTTCCTGATACCCTTATTAAAACACAACCACATTCACACAGCATGCTCTGATTATATAGTATAATGGATTAAAAAAAAAACAACAAACCAAAACAAAAAAAACCCAAAACAAAACAAAAACATTTTAAGAGAGTTAGAGGACTCAATTTAATAATACAGGAAATGAAAACATCACTCCTCATTAGATCATCTTACTGATTTAAGACTACAGTTTGTGTGTTGTTCCAACAATGTAACCTTGCAGATTTTAATTTTAAAAACATGGCAGCTATGACACATGACAAGATCAACCAGACAACGTCACACTGCTCATCCCAATATGCCCAACCTGGAAAGGAGCTCTGGATGTGCCATACAAATTGCTCTGAGCTAGAACTCTGTACAATAGCGCCCACAGCAAACACCAGATGCAGAGTCCAGATGCCTTCAGATTTACAGTCCTGCAGCATGCTTAGGATACTTAATTTTGGTATATTTTTTCTCCCTACATCTCTCTAGAAGAAGATAGATGATATTTAACTTGTTTCAGTCCATCAACAGTTTTGAACTGAACATGACCTGTGAAAGAAGTCATTATAACTGTGTTTCATTCCATTAAACAAACTAGTTTATTGTCAGGAGAACAAGCAGTCTCTCGGGGTTCCAGGCTCACTTCAGTATTTTGCATTCAAACTGCATGGATCACTGATTTCATTCATTTACCAATAAAGACAGAATAATACTGCAAAGTTAAAAGGTGCTTCATCAGATTCCATTAAATCAGAGCACATTCACAGAAAAACATATACATGTGAAAACACAAGGAGAGACATGATTTTTGCACATTCAATTCTTTTCTTGCACCTTCCTCCATTCTAGTAAAATCCATCTTAAACTCAAACCCAGGGATCCCCTGTTGGAACCAAATGCAGTTTAGTGAGGTGAACTGAACTGGGCCTACCAAAGCTAGAAGCAGCTTATACAGCTGCACTTCAAAAACCCAAACACTTTCTGTCTTTCTCTGATACACAGTTCAATGGGTAACTAAAGACACATTTTTAAAAATTCTAAAGAGCAAACAACTTCAGAAGTTTTTAAAATACCACAGTGTTAAAAGAACACAAACTCTATCAGACTTACCAACCAGTAAAATAATATAACACAACATAATTAGAGATACAGAAAAGCAATGATTTCTAATTATGTTGTTTTATTTTTGTTTATATTCACTTTACAAAGTATGAAAAGCCTTTTTTAGTCCCATGTTACATTTTCAGACTTTAAATCTAAGTTCAGACATATTATTATTGTGGGTATTCTTGCAATCAGAACTTCAGCTTTTTTGATAAGTTGCTCTCCTACCTGTTCCTATTTTTTTTTTTTTTTGGTAATGAATCTCTTGAAGACTGGACTAGGTTACTTCTCTTTAAACTTGATGAATACAGTTTTCAGTCAGTATCGCTCCTGCTTCTCTAAAACTAAAGAGATGGCCATAGGGTATTTCCTAGTCAATACACAATAGGAGTCAAAAAAGCCGGTACAGCAAAGTAAAAAATCAGTCTTATGAGGGAGGTGAGAGCTGTCCAATTTTAATGCACAAAACCAAATTCAGACATCATGAAAATTTGAGGCCACAGAATTTCAATTGACTTGAAGAGGTAAATTCAGACAACAACAAACAAAACAGAAAATTTATTTCTGTCTGGTGGGGGAAGACCAACAAAAGTTACTGTCTGGCTCCCAGACAGGTATCTAGCCTGCTTACATCTATTCTGTGTGGTTTAGTGGTTCATGAAAGCAGGGTAAACTTAAGTAACGTTGCAACAGCCAGTATCTATAACATCACATCAATCAACACAGTCTTACTAGAAAAGAAACTCCTTTTTGCAGTCACCTAATACTTACAAAGGTAAATGGCAAAAATGAACACAAGCAGACTCTGAAGTATTGATACACAAGCATGTACACACACACACAAAATGGGATGTGCAAATATACACACATACTACATACGCACACATATACAAACTTCTTAAAGAAGCTAACCTTTAGCTACTTACTTTATGTAAAGAATGTTAATAGAAGGCAATATTTTTGTTAGGTAATGAAAACTAATTGGGAAATTATTCATCTCCCACTCTCCCCACTGGAGCGTAAAAGACGTACAACAAATGTTATTCATGATTCTACACGACTCGCTCCAATTCACCCCCTTCTTTCTAATGGGCACTTCAGAGGAAATAAAGGTTACTCTTTTCCATTTATATCTTCTAATTGACTACCAGTGTTTTCTTGTGGTCAAAAGGATACAACACAGAGTTAGAAACAGCCTATTAAAAACAAGCTAAAATCAGACCACTACTCTACACTACTGTCAGCAATGATCAGAGAGCCCTGATTTTCTTGTTAAAAGACAGAGGCATAATTGAAGCAATATCTTCACTTCAGATTGATTATTCGGTGACCCTTATCCACATCTTCACTCAGCAATTTGAATTTTAATGAAAGTAAATGGAATAATTAGCATTTCAAAGTGCGTTTGATACACTGAATAAAAAAAGCGAAAAGACTTTTATGTATAATCTATACACAAAAGAAAAAGCATTTGGGAGGGTGCAGAAGATGGGAAGTATAGTTGTAGCGTCTTCATTAGAATAACTTAAACAACTGCTTGCACCAGCTGTATAATTATACATGTGAATAATGTGCTATTAAGCTATGACTTCTCACCTTTATTTTATGTAGTGTGAACAGGCACGGCTTTCGTTGTTATGCCTTTCCTCTCCAGCTGTAAAATGTAAACACTGTGGCTGCCCACACTCATAAAATCTCACAGGACTGCTCTACCATGATAACAGGGCTGGACTTAAAGCTTTCACAACAGGGGCTCCATATACCCTTGTTTTGAGATGAGCAGGAGCAGGCACACTTACGAGTGTACTGGTGACACGACATTTTGTCACTGATTTGGGTTGGCTCTTTGGTTTATTGTTTTGGTTTGTTTTCTTTTTTGCTCATGGGCTTTTTTTTATTTAAGTAACATCTATTTTTTTCACGTAAAAATGAAAAGTGTGGTGAATATTCACATTCCTGAGCCACATCAGATGCTGTCCAAACAGATGCTGACAGTAGTGATGTGAGAAACCCTTCTAAAGTGCGAGTGTGTCATATGAAGGCTACCTGTTACCACAGCTGCAGAAGCAGACTGGCACATGGCATGCAAAGGAAGCAAACAGGACAACAAAAAAACAGACTCAGATCAAACTTCAGGAAATGGCTACAACACAGACATTAATCACTCCACTAGTTTTCTCAGCACAGTGCAAACAGAAGTCTTCAGGTAGTAACTAGATTTTATGAAGATGAAGCTACTGAACTTCACTGTTGCCCCCAACTTTTGCCCACCTGATGAAAATGAGTTCATACAAGAGACAAAGAAAGCTGTTTACAAATGCTGTTAGAGCTAAAATGGAAAGACCACATACCCCAATGATTGCGTTCAGTTCTGCCATGGTCACTTGCTTGGCACGCTCCACAGCCTGCACCACTTGCTGCTGGTGCTACAAATGAAGATCAGAAACAAAACAAAATTATTGGTTTTCTAAATTATTAAGTACAGAGTCTTCCTTTTTTTTTTTTTTTTCTTTGCTTTTCACAGACATGCCCGGCTTAAAATAACCTCTCTAACAGCCAATCATGTTTTGTGTTTATCTATAAGACTTACATCAGGTAAGACGAAGAGTTTATGCTGTTACTTGCCAGGAATTACACCTTTGCTCCCCAAAGGGCTATTTTAAAACCTGGCTAAAAGGAGAACTGTTTTCCTTTTGTTCACCTTTTGTTCAGTGTGCTTTTGACTTTACGCACCAACTCAAAAGGCAAGCCACTTTCCTGACAGCCATCGAAACTTTCTGATTAAAAATAAAAAAGGAAAAAAAAAATACTAAAAGCATACTGAAAAAAAAAAGGTATGTATTTTCAACATGCACATAGCACCCACATCACTGAAGGATATAAAGATTCTCCTCCTAGGTACATTTCAAAGCAGCTCAACCGTAAGAAACAAATTTAAAATGCCATTCACAATTCTGTCAAACACGTGAAAGAGAACTAATTATTTCAATCTCCAACATGTAAATTTTAATAGCTTTAAAAAGTCCATCAAAACCACATGGTCTAATTAACAATACAGTTTACAAGCTTCAGTGGTGACATTATCTCAGTTTGAGTGATACTGTATTCCTGCAGTAAAATTCAAAACTGCTGTATACTGAAAACTGATTGATATTTATTTGAAAACACCAACTACGGATAAAATAAGGTTCTCATCTTGCAACCAGATCCATGCCTATTCAAAGCTCCGCTGGTGGCAAATTCATATGCACACTCAGCCTTGCAGGATTGGGATTACACACAACAAATTGGTGTAAGAGGGGTGTCAGGGAGAACTGCAAGTAGGTTGTGTGATCTGCATGATCTGCAATGGGAGTGTGTCAGCCTTGATTAATATCCACTGGTGCATCACAGAGCAGGGTGAGCTCTTGTCTATCTTGAGAGGTGCTGAAAACCCAACAATGAAACACCAGCTCTGTAAAGATGAATGTAAAGAACATCTAGATGCTCTTTAGCGCAAAGTTTAAGGAAAGGGCTGGAAGGGTGTCTTTAAAGCCTGCAGTCTGCCTTCATGCCTGTGTATACAGGCAGCGCAGAGCTAAAGAACAGACCATGCAGCAATCCCTCCTGCTCGTCCTTACCACGGGCAGAAAGCTGCATACAATAAGGTCCGGAGCCAAGTCCTTAATACTCCTACCAACACCTTCAAGGATAGATGAAGAGCATTGGGAAAGGCTCTCTCAGACCCAATAGGAAAGGGGCCCATAACAAAGAGCTCCAATACCTCCATGATTTGGCAGTCTCAGATTTGCCAATTCCCAGTGCAACACATAAACAAAAATTGCACTTACACTTATAAACTCTCTGCAATAGTAGCACTCAAAATGGGGCAAAGCCAACCCAAAAATCCACCTAACTGTAAGAAATGCTGACCTCAACTACAAAAAACAGATAAATGCAAATAATAAAGGAGGAAATTTAGAAACACTCCTGGAAGGAAGAAAATTATTTTAAGGTTTGCTTGTTTTTAAGCAAAGAATTAAATGAAGGAAATGCCAGGAGAGTAAATAACATAATGCTGCAAGCAGAATCACAGCATTCCCATTTAGAGTTTTGCAAAGCTACAGTGCTAAAGTAAACCAAATCTGTCACTTATAAGCAGACAATGTAAAGACCATAAAGCAGGCTGAACATGTGCAAATGTGTTCTTGCCATTCAGGAAGAAAAAAAAATAATTAAAAATAACCCCATACAAATGCAAAAACGCAAAGTTGTGCACTGCCATCACAGATAACCAGTAAAAAGGAAATTACAGTACTCAAGCCTCAAGTTTCCATGATGTGTTATCATCTCCAGGTCATCACATGTTAAGGACACATACAGCTTTCATTGATTATATAGCTGAAAGCCCAGTGACACGTGGCTCTATATGGCAACACAGTGAAATTACACCACCATTTTCTGGTGCAGGTCAGCCACACTAAAAATGGGTCATAGCATTTTTGATAAAGCCATCAAAAAAAAAAAAAAAAAGGAAAAAGGAAAACCAACATCGGTTTTTAAAATGTTGATTAAAAAAGAAGTTAATAAAAATATCCTTTATTTAACTGTTTACAGTCATCTCTTCTTTCCTACCATTTCCTAGGCAATGCTTTTTGCACTGAGGTAAAGGAAGGAAACTAGTTTTTGATTTGTATGTATGAACATTCAATTCCAATGCCCATTTACTTAAATTCCATTCCTGGGGCCACAGGCAGAAGAAAAATCTTCTGAGGGACCTAAAGAAAGCCAACCTGAAAACATCAAAATTATTGCAGAAATTACTCCAATTCTCATCCAGGTTTTGGAAAAATAATTCAGCTCTACAACAGTTTGAGTGTTTTCCTTTCCTTTACAGCAACCATACAAATAGCTCTCAGGATTATTTGGTAAAAATATTATTTCATTCCCAGGTGAGGGGAAAGAAGGTGGAGGGGTTGAGTACCAAAATCTCACTTTAACACTCTTGCTAAAAAGCACTGTAAAACAGAAATTCCCTAAGCAGACTCACAAAGCATCTTTCACTGATTCTCACAGGCTTGGGATCAAGTCTTCATAGAGAGGAGAAAAACCATGGGTCTCGTAACACTGAACCTAAATTAGGTACAGTACAGATAATTAAAATTCTCCTATCGCTAGTTGCTTTAACACTGATTTAATCATCACTGGCATAGTATGCAAAAGACACAAAATAGATGGTCTGTAATTAGCCTTTCCATCACTTCCACCTCATTGCAGCAGCTGTGCAGACTCTCTCAATCGGTACCCTGAAGCCACATGGGGGGCCTATCCCCAGTGACCCTGGGGCTACTTCAAGTCACAGGCACAAACCACACACTTCAGTGGATAAAGAGGAAAGCAAAGTCATGCTGTGGTGTGGCAAAGTAATGAGCAGGGTTTGAAGAGACCACCAGCTGTCCCTTGGGTTTCTGAACCTGAGCTGGCAGGCAGCTTCACATTACCAACTGCAGCTTCAGCAATGGGTACAGATCTCCACACACAGAGAATGAGACCGACTGGGCCCCAGGGACCCACTGCTATTTGAAACCAAGGTGTAGCCAAGTGGGGCTGGCCCAGCCAGCAGGGGTACCCAAGGACTGATGACTCCAGCACTTACAATATGCTTGAATGCCTTCCAGGGCCAGCATGCCAGTAACAAGCAACATTATGTTAAAACCAAGCAGTACATATTAGCTACCCATCAAGTGATCATGCAGCAATTTACAGCCAAGTAAAAAGAGCAACCATAATAAAAGGTTACTTTTTCCCAACCAAAAATAGACAGGGTTGCAGCTTTCACACACATTTAATGCCAGCCTTCCACTGCGCACACAAGCAAATGACTGACCCACTTTCTTCAGTTATGGGAAAAAAGTATTTTGCACTGCATTTAACAGGCCAGAGCACTGAACTCAATACCCTGCCCCGCCTGTCAGGAAGACTAGTATCATTTCTTCTTTTTAACTTCTTCCCTGTCTCTTCTCTTCACCCCTTTTTGCCTTCTGTAATGAGCAGCATGTCCACACTTGCCTTGTGTTGGAAAATCACCTCCTTTCAGTCTCACAGTGGGTAGTAATGACAAAGACCACAAGAAGGATGTAGGCTTTTCCCCCATCACATCGTCTCACCACACTGTCTTGTCACCTAGCCCTGGCTCCTGTGCAGTCATTGAAGCAGAGTGGAAAATACCTAGGCTTCTTATACAGTGTCAGAGCTACTCAACACCTCCCACTGACAGGTGGCCGAAATTCCCCCTAGTATGCACACACAGACGCTGGTGTTAGAAACACCTAATTCCAGCCTGTCTCCAGCACTGCCAACAACATCCAAAGCAAGAATCACTTAACGATTCACTCTGCAGAAGGAAGCAGGCTCTGCCATGTTTTATTCATATTATTTGTTGTTGTATTATCTGTTTAGAGGGAGTACAGACTAGATCCTGCTCAAGAACTGCAGCAGTGCCATTCTGAAAAGCTCTACCTAGAGGCAGCATGATGAGATGCGGCCACATCAAAAACACTACTGAGAACCAGACAGCAAACACACATTTACTGTTGAGTACAGCACATGCTTAGAAACTAGAAGGAACCAGCAGATTCACTGCATCCAGACACCATAACTCTGACAAGATGTAATAGCCACTTCATAAAAATATAAGAACATTATTAGCAATAGATGCAGAAATTGCTAACAAGATGCCTTCCTTGGAAGAAAGATTACAGATACAGACAGCTTCCTTGTACTTACTGTTTCACCTCTAGTCTGGGGCAAGTCTAAAATAAAGGAAAATAATTCAGTCGTCTCAGCCTCTCACTTCTCAGACCAACAACTTCTTCCTTTTGAACAGCATGGAAGGACTCCTGCTCTGCTCCTATAATGCATATCACAGTCTTCATCCAAATTTACTGAACCTCTAGAGAACGTACAGAGAAGAGCAAGCCTATTATGGCCCACAGCTTTCTAAAAGGAAAACCATCAACTAATACTAACGTGCTTGAAAGCAAAAGACTGCATGCAACATTTCCTCTTTGTATGTTTGCTGGTGTGTATGAATGCCAGTGCTTGGCATTTTATTGTACTTCTAAGTATATCTGACCACCTTATCATGCATGGGAAACTGCAGATCCCTGTTAAAGAGCAATCCTTCTAGGTTGTTAATAGCTAGCTCACTGGCAGTTAAAAGGGAAAGCACACTTTCCAAAGAAGTTTACTACAGCCTCCTCCAGCCCACATAATGCTTGCCAATGTGGTGTGGAATTTGACAGGGACCAATAACGTGAGAAGCCATTCATCTGGCTTCTCAAGCATTTTTTGCAGCTTGTGCTGAGCTCCAGGTTGCCACAACTGCACCATTAGCTATAAATGAGCCAAACTGTGTGTGCCCCATGAGTATGTACACAGGCAAGTT